AGACCGGGGCACGAACCCCTGTCCCCTGCATCGGCAGGCGGACTCTCAACCACTGCGCCACCAAGGAAGCCCAGTATATTCTTTTTAACATAATGATGCTTATAGAAGTTTTTGGCAGACGTTCTTTATCAGATTAGGGTAATTCTTTTCTCATTGTAGATTAAGTGAGTTTTTCTTTTCACATGAAAAAGTGTGAGATTTTATTAAATGCATTACCTGCGTGGACTAAGAGAAATATTCACCACACTATAATTCACCACACTAACCAGTTTTTAGAAAAATATAAACAACCTATTTCAAACTTAGTGGCCCACTCTAGCCCATGGTGTTCTCCTAATATTTCTTTAACTACCAACTGTGAACTTTGGAAATCACACTTCCCATTTCTTATAGCTTTCATAAAAAATAAACAAACCTCTTTATCCATTCATCCGAAGATGGGCACTTAGGTTGTTTCCATCTCCGGGCTATTGTAAATAGAGCTGCAATGAACATTTTGGTACATGACTCTTTTTGAATTTTGGTTTTCTCAGGGTATATGCCCAGTAGTGGGATTGCTGGGTCATATGGTAGTTCTATTTGTAGTTTTTTAAGGAACCTCCATACTGTTCTCCATAGTGGCTGAACCAATTCACATTTCTACCAGCAGTGTCAGAGTGTTTCCTTTTCTCCACACCCTCTCCAGCATTTATTGTTTCTAGATTTTTTGATGATGGCCATTCTGACTGGTGTGAGATAATATCTCATTGTAGTTTTGATTTGCATTTCTCTAATGATTAATGATGTTGAGCATTCTTTCATGTGTTTGTTGGCAGTCTGTATATCTTCTTTGGAGAAATGTCTATTTAGGTCTTCTGCCCATTTTTGGATTGGGTTGTTTATTTTTTTGTTATTGAGCTGCATGAGCTGCCTGTAAATTTTGGAGATTAATCCTTTGTCAGTTGATTCATTTGCAAATATTTTCTCCCATTCTGAGGGTTGTCTTTTGGTCTTGTTTATGGTTTCCTTTGCTGTGCAAAAGCTTTGAAGTTTCATTGGGTCCCATTTGTTTATTTTTGTTCTTATTTCCATTTCTCTAGGAGATGGGTCAAAAAGGATCTTGCTGTGATTTATGTCATAGAGTGTTCTGCCTATGTTTTCCTCTAAGAGTTTGATAGTTTCTGGCCTTACATTTGGGTCTTTAATCCATTTTGAGCTTATTTTTGTGTATGGTGTTAGGGAGTGATCTAATCTCATACTTTTACATGTACCTGTGCAGTTTTCCCAGCACCACTTATTGAAGAGGCTGTCCTTTCTCCACTGGCACATATATACTATGGAATATTACTCAGCCATAAAGAGAAACAAAATTGAGCTATTTGTAATGAGGTGGATAGACCTAGAGTCTGTCATACAGAGTGAAGTAAGTCAGAAAGAGAAGGACAAATACCGTATGCTAACACATATATATGGAATTTAAGAAAAAAAAAATATTATGAAGAACCTAGGGGTAAGACAGGAGTAAAGACAGACCTACTGGAGAACGGACTTGAGGATATGGGGAGGGGGAAGGGTGAGCTGTGATAGGGTGAGAGAGAGACATGGACATATATATACTAACAAACGTAAGGTAGATAGCCAGTGGGAAGCAGCCGCATGGCACAGGGATACGGGCTCGGTGCTTTGTGACCGCCTGGAGGGGTGGGAGGAAGGGAGACGCAAGAGGGAAGAGATATGGGAACACATGTATATGTATAACTGATTCACTTTGTTATGAAGCAGAAACTAACACACCATTGTAAAGCAATTATACCCCAATAAAGATGTTAAAAAATAAAAAATAAACAAACCTCAATTAAATAGAGTCAGGAGACCAGAGGGGGAGCTCTCATACCCTGCAACGATAGCAGAGCCCAACAGGAAGAAGAAAGACTTCTATTCTTCCCTGGCAAGACCTTGGCCAATGAAAAGCCATGGACTCTTTGTTTACTAAAGCCCTTCCAACTTCCTTTTCTCTTCTATGAAAGGGTTCTCCTTTCCTCATCAAGTGGGACTTGCACATGGCTCGCCAGGGTTGCAGACCCCAAACTGCAATTCTCCACTGATCCCAAATCAACCCATCTTTGCTGATGAAAAACCTGCAGTCTATTGTTTTAGGTCCAAAAAAATCAGTTCTGTTGTCCCTATTTCCATTATTTGAAAGGTAGGATTGCGCTTACTTTCTAATGCCTCATCTATGAATTCAGCAGTTTTTCCCAGATCTCATTACAACCCTACGACAAAGTTGTCATCTCTTATGAGACTCAATTCCTACCAGGGCATCCTGAGACTTCCCTAGTCATTCAAATATTTCAGCACATCATTTCACTCAAGTAAATCTGCTGGAACCATTTTCTTATGTTTACATGTAAGACTCTATATATCAACACATGCCAAGAAGGTAGTTTGCCTTAATGTGACACACTCCCTCAAATTATCACTAATCCCACTACTCTGTGATACTAACATGCATGAATCATTTATTACAACCTATGTGTATGAACTACTATGTGCCAGTCATGGGGTAAGGTATAAGAGATATGTATTGCAAAGAGCAGAATCATAGCTCTCCTAGTCCTATGAAACTCATAGTCTATTGGGGAGGGGAGAGATTAATAAAAATCACCCAAATATATAATTACAAATTGGGATAAGTGTTATGAAATACAAGTACATAACAGAACAGGGTGACTTCACAGAGGCCTGATGTTGCAGGTCAGTGTATGCACGAGAGGGAGGGGTACTGTTGGGATATCCAGAATGGCTCTTTTAAAAAACATTTTGTGAAGTATAGTTGATTTACAATATTGTGTTAATTTGTGCTATACAGCAAAGTGACTCAGTTATACATATGTATATTCTTTTCCATTATGATTTATCACAGGATATTGAATATAGTTCCCTGTGCTATGCAGTAGGACCTTATTGTTGTTCCATCCTATATATAATAGTTTGCATCTGCTAATCCCAAACTCCCAATCTTTCCCTCCCCCACTCCCTCCCTCTTGGAAACCACAAGTCTATTCTCTGTATCTGTGAGTCTGTTTGTTTCATAGATATGTTCATTTGTGTCATATTTTAGATTACACATATAAGTAATACCATATGTCCATCGACAGATGAATGGATAAAGAAGATGTGGTGTACACACACACACACACACACACACACACACACACACACAATCGAATATTCCTCAGCCATAAAAAAGAATGAAATAATGCTATTAGCAGCAACATGGATGGACCCAGAATGGCTCTTCTTAGTCAAAGATCTTTGAGATAAAATTTGTAGGATGAACAAGCAAACATCAGCCTAGGTGCAGGAATCAGCACACATAAATTGAGAAGGAAAGAGTTCCTTAACTCTCTCACAGCCTCACCTCCCTTACTTCCCCAGCTTGCATTCCATAGCCTGTCACAATTACGTCCTCACAAATGCCGTTCATTCCTTCACTATGCCTTGATCATGCTACGTTGGCAAGTCTCAAACCCTGGTAAAACCCAGCTGTCTGTTCTGCCCATGCAACCAACAACCAAACCCTGCTGACTGGTTCTAGAGGTAGTCTGCCACAATCTAAAAGGGGTGTTCTGTTCAGATTCCCTAGTTATGCTTGCTACCCATTCAAAAAACCAACATTTCACACTTTCTCATCTCTTCTCAAATCTCCTATACATCTCCCTCATCGCTGCCCATCAACTAACTCAGCCAGTGATCTTGCTTCATACTTCACTGAGAAGTGAATGTCTGAGGATTCAGACAGGAATACACTTATATTCTGCCCGGTGTTTGCCTTCTCTCTACACATATGTATGTTCTTCTTGCCTTCCGATTACTATGGAGGATGTGTCCTGCTCCAGAAAAGGGTCCGTAATCTCTACTACAGCTATGGATTCTAACCTCTTCTTTCCTTCAGGAATTTTATTCCTATCATTACCCCTCATTTATCTTGTCTTCTGTATTAACAATTTCTCCTTCTCTATTGGACAATTTATACCAGGATAAACACATACTGTAGTATTCTCTAACTTAAAAAAATCCTTCATCTACATAACATTTCTCTTCCCTTCTACAGCAAACCTTGCTAAATTTTTCCTTCAGTACCTTCCACCT